CTTACAAACTCCAGATATTCATTACCTATCATTTTAGATTGTATCAACTTACTTTTTCAATCTTTAGAACTGATAAATTACCGTGACAAACCACATACTCTTGGCAACTTCAAAACATTAACACATAATCATAAACAACATACATCACCATCTCTTAAACGTTACAGTCAATAATCTTTTTCATTGATCATTAAACTTTAGATTAATTCAGACTGTTTGCACGAATGCACATCAACTAGTTCACTTTCCGTTTATATTCTCTGACTTTGAGACACTTTGCATAGAACCGTAGAACCTCTACAGCCTAGCACTCTTCAATGAATAGCTTTTGCCAAACTTTCACATTCCAAGTAGGTGTCTTTACGATTCCAAAAACAAGTAACTACATTTTTCCACAGTTATCTGAACTTCCTTTCTCTTACTCTTACTTTTTGCTAACATCATGAAATGTAACAGTTGTCTTACACATTTACCTCAGCTGTTGATTTTATAGATTTCCAAAGGTTTCTTGATTATCAAGAATGCTACTCCACCATGTAAAATCATAATAACTTTCCTGCAACAAAAATATCCTTTGAGACTGATGACACTGCTTATGTATCACACAAAACATGAAATAACAGATCATAAATTCAAAAACTTATCTTTGTTTACTACTGCTCACCGGCCGCCACTGCCCTGTCTAAAATTCAGAAACAACTACACAAACTGTAGGTTAGGGGTACCAACCCCAAAATTATTACAAACTGTCTAGTGTACAGTCATTTTGATTGTTACATTTACATGTTCATGTTTTTATTTCACAATTTAAACACACTTCGCAACACCTATCACTCTTAACATAAAGTATCTCGGGTTCATTTCATTTTCTGTGTAACTTTACCGAAACATTTTTTATTTGGGTGACCAACCTTTCCAAGGTTGGGATCCTGCCCAAAGCAGCACAGCCGAGTTTCTTCACTCAGATTCGCTTTAATAATTTTTTTTTAACTCTTCTAAATTGCTCTCAGTCCACATACTTTTCATTCAGCAGACAGTCATAATACCTCAACTTTTGAACGTTTTAAGTCAGTAATTTGTTGGTACATCTTAACATTTCAAATGATTTCAATTTCACTTTTGATTACCAATTCTATTCTTTCTACTTTCAATTTGCAAGTTTAGATTTCAGTTTTACATTCCTCAGACTCTCATTTCACTTCTCATTTTCAGTTTTGATTCACAGGACTAGAGACTTCTATATCAATGTTGCTTTTTTTTTGTTTTTTTTTTTTTCAATTTTATGTTAGCTCTTAACTAATCAATTTATTTTATTTTATTTCCTTCTTTCTTTGTTATGTGTAGAACCTCTACACAGTTCTCAGGTTTGAACGTAGAACCTCTACGCCTGCCTGAACGTAGAACCTCTACGCCAGTGACCATTTATTAATCCGTAGAACCTCTACGTAATCTGTTAGTGTAGAACCTCTACACACCTCTATCAGCATCGTAGAACCTCTACGTGCATTCAACATCATTCCTTATAGAACATCTCCACTGGACAGAACCTCTGCCATGAACCTTGATCCTCTAGAATCAAATACTTATGACCACACCCATAGTGTGCCATTTATAAACAAATTATATTGTTATCACTCACTGTTTCATTGTACTTATTTATGCCACATTTATCAATTGTTTCAGTACTCTTGATAAATTATACAGCCTCCTTTTATTTTTAAAAAAACATATATTTTAAGACACATTCAAATAATAAAATTAATTCAACATTACACTCAGGCACTGAAAATCATATTACACTTCACTCCAAAGGATCTCACCAACACATATTCTAGGAAAATTGTATGATTAAGGCAACACACGCCAGAATATTCTCTGGAATTACTGCATATGATGCACAACTCTGGAATTACAGCTACTCCCACATAAAACTGGAACTGAGGAGAATTATGCTCACCAGAAGCTTATATGAGTTAATTAAATCCCTAATTTCATTTAGTTCATCATCACTTCGAACATAGAAATACCATTTGATGATCAGATGCAGTAAAAAGAAATGCATTTCTGTGGACTGTACCATACCAAACAAACATTACTCACATTCAGGATAGGAGGGGGAATACTCTCGACTCAATTGGTTTTACGAGAACTTTTTCTTACATTCAAAAGACAATTGTTGTACTCACTTTCCGTCCTTTACTTCCATAACTCAGATACTCACATATCCATTTCATGTTTTGAAATTATTGACTTCATTTCAGACTCACATTCCAGAACAAAGGGACAGACCACAGCCGTCGCCATATTTGATAATTTCACAACTTGAGTATTTAAGTTTCCCAGCTTCACTTTTCACTCTGGATTTTAATTCTCTTTGATTCCATACTCTTCCCAGACACTTCTAAGTTTGCTTCAGCAGTCATTTGACTTCACTTAAAACACTTCTTTGCTTTTGCTTGCTTTGTTGACAGCACGGGGACGCCGGCCGCGTCTCCCTTCAGTCACTTGCACAATAATCCA